CCTAACACTTTCCATATGGCAACTGAATTGTGGCTTTTAATTGCACCAACTGGTATCATTCAAGGATAATTCCCCTGGAATCCAGCTTTCTGCTACAGTATTGGCCAATTCACTAATCTCATCACCATGGCACTAATACTTTCAGAGACTCTTTGATTGTTAATATTCATGTTATAATTTTCCCAAACCAGAGCTGTCAAGATACACTATGTGCACCACTAATTAAATTATCTTGGTTTCTTGGCACCAAATTTCAACAGTAAATAAGATTCTGCTTCTCTCTCTTTCAATAAAAATTTTGGCAATTTTATTTTAAATGTCATACACAATACTTTGTGTATCAAAATATTTTTTTAGTCATATCAGTACCTATCACTGCCAAGTCTGTCGTTTCTTTTAATCCTCGGAGTCAAAACAAATAATTGTCTATACAATATTGACATTAATGTACTTGAAAATATTTCAGTTTAAAAGAACACTTCAAAAAGTCACACAAGATAGCACCCAAGGAAATTTTAATTGCTCTTGTCACCACATCAGTAAGACAGCAGTCTTTCAAATGTCATTCTACCCATGAGATGACCCCAAAGTAGTGCTACAATTAAATTGTCCACTTCAACAGCCTTTAAGCCATAGTATATACATAACACTAAAAAAGTCTCTTTTCTGTTTATTATTTTCATTTTGGATGAATAACCTATCCAGCAGTGTCTTCTATAAGGCTATTTATTTTTATATGCACACACACACACACATGCTATTTAATAGTGGAGGATTGGGAAGGGCTTTTTTTTTTTTTAATTTAAGAAAGATCATGCTAGAGGAGCAGTGAAGTTGCCACTGTCATAGTCTCCTCTCAGTCATGCAAGGAATGCCCATTAATGTCACTGGCAGTTACAGGCACAGAACAAATGGAGAACAAGCCCCACCTCTGAAGCAGTGATGTGCCTCAGCATTTCATACTGTATTATTCCCAGACCAGATACTCAACTCTAATTAATATCAGTTAGGGCTGAACATGAGGATCACTAGCACCAAAGAGCCCAGCAGAAGTGGTAAGCTGAAGTTTTTACTATTATGACTAAAATGATTACTTACAACTTGACTCACTGTAAGCTGGTTTGAAATTTAGTTAAAAATACGAGATATTTTCCAGTCCCAAGCACAGATCTCAATGAGACGTGCAAAAAACTAGTAAAATTTCTTATGGCTTTGAAGATAAAAGTAAATCAAACTGAGCAAATGTCATATTTAATATTTTCCCCTCTAGCATAGAACTACTTCTCAGTTAAATAAATAAATACATGCATATTTGCAAACAATGTTGATCTCCAAAAATAGTTTGTAAAAGTAAACACACCGAATAAATTTAAACTTAAGAATTATACAGGATAATCCACAGTGTCAGAAAACCTTTCTGAATGCAAGTTAACTCATTCGTAAAGCAGCAAAAGAAATGTACTCAGTTGCTCTATCAGATTTACAGCCCCAGTGGTTTCAATTAGCTTTGAGACTAGAAGATGACTCTGGACCTCATACTTTTCATGGATGCAACAGAATTCCTTTTTTCTTGAATTGTACATGATGTGGAAGGCTGCAGCCCAGCCCTCAGCCTCCACAGTAATTAAAACATTTAGAGCAGAGCAGCCCCTGCTGGGCGGGTGGCAATGGTTTAATGAGATCAGAGCTCTTAGCGCAGATCAGAAAGCTGTATACACACCAGAAGTGCATATTTCAGATACACTCCCCTTCCCCTGGCTCATGCCTTCACCCAACAATTTACTACGAGATCCTTCTCAGATGACTGATGCATTTGGCAGCAGCTGGACTCTAATTACTGTTCTTCCAGTGAATTGGAGGGGGGAGACATGGACAGACGGGACACGACATGGAGGACACATCAGCTGAGGGAAGCCTACTCTAACCAAGGTGCTCTTAAAACTTCAGTTCAGGAAGAGAAAAGGTGTTGTACTCTTGAACCCTCCTTGTGTGAGACACCCCTTGCATGAACTGACGTAAAGACCTCGCCTCCACAACTATCGTAAATTCAGTCATTCTAGAAAGGAGCACAAATGACATTTTATTGCTCTTCTGTATTAGTCACTCACTCCTCTTGTAAAACGCCACAAGAATTCCCCTGAACTTCAGTGTCATCTCCTCTGGGTCACTAAATTTAGCAAAGCAATTCAGCATCTGTTCTTGATGAAAACAGCCTTCCAACTACAACCAAGACAGAATTTTTGGCTTATATAGAGCAATGTAAGTCAAATTTCACTATGTTCTAATCAACATGATTTAAATCTTTGAAGTTGCAGACTTGGAAGCAACTGAGTGCTCTCCTCTCCCATCAACAGGTCTTTGGAAGTACACTGGATTTCACCAAATAGGGCCCTACATACTAATGAAACCACCATCAACGAATTTCACCAAATAGGGCCCTCCATACTAATGAAACCACCATCAACGAAACTCTGGTTAAGGATTCCTAGGAGGAAAATTATTTCTAGGACCATTATTTTTTTTTTTAAAACTCAACTAGGTGTTTCAGCAAACGCAGATATTTTCATCAGTGTTTGATCTTACTCTTTCTGCTGGAAATCACATACGTAGCAATTAGGACCTCTTTCAGGGAAAAAACATGTTTTAATTGGAAGCCAAAGTTTCAGCCGTGACAATAAAACTGTACCATTCCACAGAGCCTTATAAGATAACTGATCATTTTAGGAGGAATTTCAAAGGAGAAGAGCCCTTGGTCAATTCAAGTGCAACAGTACTACATTATTGGGGAATACACGACTGTCCCACACAATCCCACGTGACTAACCATTAGTAGAAGTGACTAGTAGTTCTATGTCTTCAGGTGAATGAAGAGTGCCAAAAGGTTAGCCTACAATTTGCTTTGTATCTTAGTATAATTATACAAGAGATCAAAGAAATCTCTGAAGAAAAACAGTCATGAAATCTCAGTTATCGAGTCAATAGCTGTGACTCCATAATCCTCGTCAAAAAGACTGTGCATACGGCACATCTGGTTCCAATGTAGGATTAGAAATGCATCCTTCCATATTACCAAAAGTTCATATTTTAAAGGAACTTTAATGTAGCTGTCACAGTGTGCCTGTGACAGGAAGACAATTAAACTAAATCAATTAGCAGGCTATACATGCATGCAGATACTACTAAATATATTAGGCAATAAATTGTGAGTATTTTCATTCAGAAGCAGCTCTATCAGGATGACAGTAAAAAGCCTCATGGGAGCAGTGCTTTTAAACATACTTAAACCTATTTACGGTTTTATAATATACTAACACTGTAGACTAACTTTTAGTTAATGGCTTGCTAATTGCTGAGCTATCATGAGGAGGACACCTTGGGTAAGAAGAGAAGCGCTGTTCTACTGTCATTCCAGCTGGGCAGACCTCATGGAACTGAAAACTGAATAGTTTTGTGAATAGCAAAGTATCTTTGACAAAGGATTTTATCCTTTTCAGAAAGTAAACTGTATTTGTGGAAGGAAATACATTTCACAGAGTTAAAGTTGAATTTTTGACCTTTAACTCTTGTATTTTAAACCTATGTTTAGTTCGGTGAGTTGAGCTTCTTTCCTAGAAAATATGTATGTGAAAGGTAGAACATACCTAAAAAGTTTGACTCACAAAAATGGGGATAATGAAAAATAATTAAAAGCACATGGGTTTACTCTTTGCATCTGTATCATACATCTATGTACCATTATTAGTGAAAACTTATTTCTTTGGACACATTGTATCCAACTAAAGCACAACAAAAACCACTTCAACCAACCATACCTTCAAGTCCAACCTAAAGTGATTACGCTCACCAATTACAAATACTGACATCAGTATCTTACCCCCCTCACCTTACTTCCAGTGCCTCCCAAACAATTTATCCTCCGCTAAGTAAAATATTGGTGGAATCTAAAAAGTCATCATTAGCTTTTTCCATACCACACATCTTCTATATACTTTTAACACCCCACCTAAAATGAAGTATTCTCTACTTGTGAGTTCATTTTTCCTGAGACATGAGAAGTTCAGGCTTCTGACAATAAAACTGGTGGCTAACAAAGAGAAGAGTCTGCAGGAGGTTTGGTGGCCCTGCTCTGCTTGTGCTTTCAGAGCCACATTCCTTGCTGGGAAGCACAGATTCCAATCTCACCATCTCTCAGGTTACTTTTCCACTGATGAAGCTTTCAGGGCTTGATCCAAAGCTCACAGAAGTCAATGGGAGTCTTTCAGTAAACATCAATAAGCTCTGGATCATACCCTGAAACACTATGAGGACTGTATATAAGAATTGTTAAGTTTGTTTACCTCCCATCATGCCTTTTTATTTAAAGAGGCAACATTATTAAAAAAAAAAAAAAAAAAAAAAGGCAACTTAGACATTTCCTCCAGCCCAGCTTTACACAGGAGGACTGGAGGAAAGAAAGAGAAAGAGTGGAAAGCAACCCCCAGTGTGGTAACAGCCAGAACAAGTGACATGTGCAGTAACTCTCATGGAAAAAGTCAGGCACACATTATGAGCAAAGAGCAAATAAGTAAAAATACACTCTTCAGGGACTTCTCCTTTCCTGAATTCCTCTGCCAAAGTGTCACAGACAAACTTGTGCATCAATCAGGGTTCACAAGCTTGCACACACTGGCAGGGTGCTGGGCTCTTCCCAGAGACTCTCTGTTTGTGAAGGGTTTTGTTCTCATCGTACTGCCCAGACACCAGCCGACAGGTCCCCTTACTGCTCCGGCTTTTGTACCAGCACCAAGTTTGCTCTGCAGCTCCTAACTTCATCAAAGGACTGAAGGAAACCACCCGCGGGGCAGCCCCTCGGAGCAGCATTAGGGCAAAGAAAACCCTTCCTTTGCACAACCGGCCCTTGGGAGGGAGAGAGGGATGTAGAAAGAGCTTTTGGTTTTCCCTATTTCAAAAAGAAGGGGCGGGGGCGGCGGCGGCGGGGGGCAGCGGGGAAGCTGACATACCCTGGCGCTGGAGAGCCTGCAAACAGCCCGGTGCTGGCAGCCTTGCTGGAGTCCCGAGCTGCTGCCTCCGCTGCTGCTGCCCCCGGAGTATTTCTGCTTCACCATCCAGTCCTCCAGCCCTTTGCGAGCCAGAGAGGCGTTCACCGCAAAACTATCACCTAGAAAAGAGGAGACAATGCCGCCGCTGAGCCGCTCGCAGAGCCCGCCCGGCCCCCGCGGCCAACCCCGCGGCCAACCCGGGCAGGAGCCGGGGCAGGAGCCGGGGCAGGAGCCGGCACGCAGCGCGCAAACCGCGACGGAAAGTTGAGGGGAGAGGGCAGGGGGACGGGGACAGCCACCCGGACCGGGGGAAGGAGATCAAAGTTACTAGCAGTAAGGAGCCATCCCTACCTTCTGGACTTTCTCTGGGTTTACAAACGGCAGCTAGGCAGATCCGGAGGAAAGTGTGTGGGGGAAATAATAAAGGAAGATCATTAGACACCAGTATAAAAATCACAGCAACAAACCGAGTAAAATCAGAATAAGGGGAAGGGGCTAAGGAAGTAGCAAGTGAAAGGAACTAACCATGTTTCGAGTGAAGTTTCCCCATCTCTCTGCATTGATCTGCAGTTAAGATTCATTTGACTGTTTTCAGTAGGGTCAGGTTCGCTTGTTGTTATTTTTGTAGATATATAAAATCCCAGCGTGTTTAGAAATCCATGTGCTCCGCTTCTCTCTGGTAACGCACAAGCGAGATCAAATCTCAGTTCCTCTCCTGCAGCACGGTCCGGCGTCCCCCTCTCCGCTCCAGTCTTCCTCCTCTCTCCTCTCTTTCCCAAAGACAGAGGCGGTTACAAAAGACCTTACTTCACCCACCGGGGAACATGATTGACACCTCATTGAGATTAGACCACTTGCAGGCAGCCTCCGCCTTCCCATTGGGCCGCGGCAGCAGATGAAAGGGGCGAGTGAGCCTTTTGGAGGCTCCAGAAAAAAAAAAAAAAAAAAAAAAAAAAAAAAAAAGGGAAAGAAAGAAAAAAGAAAAAGGAGCAGCCAGGGCGCGTTTCACTTCCAGCCAGGCACGGGCGGCGGGGCCGGCCCCGCTCCGCTCCCCACGCAGCCCCGGGGGCGTCGGGCAGACAATGCGCCCCGCCGCCCCCCGCCCGCGGAGCTCCGCGCCGCCGCCGGCCCCTGCCCGGCCCGGGGCTGCCCGGCCCGGCCCGGCGCTGCCCTGCCCTGCCCGGCCCGGCCCGGCCCGGCCCGGCGCTCCCGGGGCCGCCCCGCGGGCAGCGCCGCCCTGCGCAGAGCTCCGCGGGCAGCCGGCGCTGCGGGGGGCCGCTCTCCGCGCCCGCATCCCCCGCGGGGGCCTGCCCCTTGTATTGGCGGAAAAGCGGCTCTGCCCCGTGGGCCGAAGGGTCGGTCGGTCTGTCTGTCCGTCTCCGTCCCGCCGCCGCGGGGGCACGCAGAAGCAGCCGGCCGCTGGGCACCCCGCCCGCCTTTCGCCGTGTCGGCCGCTGCCCTCCGCCACCCCTGGGACGCGGCTGCGGTGCTGCCGCGCTCCTGAGCCCCTCGTGTCCCCGCTGAGCAGCGTCTTGGTTGCGAAGGAAAGCCAGCATGTCTGGAAAAGCGGTTGTTCTACTGACTTAGTGCTTCAAACTGTTTTGCAGGGGCATCTCTGAACACACCAGTGATCCTACTGAAGTCACGGTTCATGCAAAAATGCCGTTTCCAGGGCCAGATCTGGAATCCTTTCTCGGTGATTCAAAATGTTGGCAGCAGGAGGACAAAGTCTAAAGTCTCTATCAGCTTTTAAAAATTATTACTATTAATGGAGTAAATAAGATTTAAAAAAACCCTCCCCTTCTCCAGTTTATGAATGGTATATTTTCCACATATAGAATAAACTAAAAGGAAACTTGCTGTTTCACAAAGACAATTCTCACAGTCATTAAAAATTTGTTTCCTTCCAGGTCATTATTCCTGCCTGGTCATTATTTTTCTGTTTATGAAAATCACATCTCCCTTGAGATCCTTGTAGTTCAACTAGGAGAGATAAAAGGGAGTGTGTAGTAGATTCAGAACAAGAAAAAAATGAAGGCTTCTGAGAATTTTACTCAAGAAACTACTAGTCAAACTATGTAGGGATTGACCCAGATGGGCCTGGTCCAAAAACTTCAAGGCCACATCTGTACTTTCAAATCCATACATTTCAAGCACAGGGAGGAAGGAGTAAGACTTGGGAGCTCATCTGAAAAAAAAAGATTCAAAGCATATGTAGTAACACTTCTGCAGGGAATTGGGATGGGGAGAGAAGGGTCAGGCTTGGAGCTCATTTTTAGAAGGAATTCCAAAGCACATGGATGCGGTGAAGGTCTGGTATGAAATGACTGCACAGCACAGCCAGTGGAAAGCCATTAAATGAACCATTTAAAGCCAAATTGTTCTTTGGATGACTGCAAAGTCATTTCTCACATTATTTCAACTATTTATCTGTCTAGAAAAGAAAGCAATTGAGTTGTGAAAGGCAGCCAGTGCCAGAGCATCAGTTGCTTGTCAAATAGTTAATAACATACATCTTTTGTGAATCTCATTTTTATGTATTTTAATAATTTATTTGGCCCATTTTTTATATTGTGTATTTAAAGTGACATATTTGTTCCTTTGAAGATTGCCTCTTGTTTTGGGGAGGAGAAAGAGGGGAAGAAAATAATTTAGATGAAGCAGACTGCTTAGGCCATGGGCCTCACCTATACTGTGAAAACTTGTATAAACTCTCTGATGCATCTTAAGAAATTTGAAAATTGTAATACCAATTTTATTTGCTCCTCAGCTTGGCATATACTTGAGTACCCTCTTTTAACTTCATCAGCAAATGTTTTATGTGGGATATCACTTATCTTCATTGTTTACAAGAAATAGAGAACACCTTAATAGAAGTGCCCCCCAAATGGTACGGATTTATTAATTTATCTTGTGAAATGGTGCCCCCCATCATTCAGCTCTTGGAACCAAAATGAGGCCTTAGAAATGTCATGAATTCAGCAGGTCTGAACAAGTGACTGGGGGAAGAAGCCCTCGCTTTCACTGCGATTACAGAGGTCCACTTGTGTCCCAGTTACGGAGATGAAGGGACTTGCATTTCTAACACAGTCACTGTTGTGCAGTGCTGCTTTCACATATGCAACATTTGTTAGAATCTAAAGCAAGCCCTTTTTAATTACAGTCAATGACATAGCCTACAAAACCAAGTTTTTCACCGGAGAGCAAGTCTGACAAAAGAGTCCCAAATGCCAGTAACTGACTCTGCATACAATGGGATTCGTGATTGCAATGCGCGGGCATGGGAGTAACACAAATACATGCTGGTTACGCTACACTGAGTAGGAATCACAACTGCAGCTATTCCTTCCTCCACCTGGGAGAGAGAAATTTTTAGCTACTCTTAAAGGGCCAAACCTTGAGATTCTTAGCAAGTTTTTGCTCAGATCAATCCCAGTTGATTTTGGGAGGATTTAGCATGGTATAACAACTAAACAGGGACCTCAGGATTTGACTCAGTAGAATTATAATGATCCTCAAAACTACAGGGACCTCGAGGCACACAAAGCCTTTTGTTTTTCCTTCCATGGAGCCAGAAGTGTGTTAAGTAGTGATGTCTAGTAAAATATAAGAGTAAAGTACACCATTCATAAAACTGTACTAATGATTAAAGGGTCTCTAATTCAACCCAGTGACCCCAGTGGAATTCTTGAAGTTTGAAAGCCATGATATAGAGTATTATTCATTGCCCTTTCATTAGTGCTGACTACGCTCTACGTTTTCAGAGGATGGAAAACCCTTTTAAACCTTGATATAATATAAACTAATTGATGATAGGAAATAAATGTATCTTAGCCAAGGAACAAGTGAATAAGACCACTCCAGGAATTAATTTTCAGTATTCAATAACGTAGCAAAATTAATGTCAGTACTTGCAATAGCAAGAGTTATATCATCAGTTAGACTGAGAAGAACCCTGTGAGTACCACCGAGGGTTGTTCTGATGTCCTGACAAAGAGCGGAGGACTTCTATGCAAAGATATCAGCCAAAACAACACATCTAATTTGATTCTATATTTGCATATTCGCTACAGAACGGTGTGCAGAAATAAATGCTAGCCTAGTATATGGTAAAATAAACCAACATTGAAAAGCTTCGGATTCAACATGTACCTAAAGGTAACTCAACCTGGTGTAAGACTGCATGAAAGCAAGTGTCCTAAAAACAGTTGTTTAGAGGCCAGGGTAGAAATACTACACTACACACTAATGGTGTAGTCAGCTTTAGACTGGTAAAGACCAGAGATCACATAAGACACAGACCTACAAACGTAGCCTACCACAGCAAACAGAAACAGCTGATGGGATTCACCTCCCCGTTACGCAGGCGCCGCTGACACTCAGGGAGTCGCTGCGGGCAGTGGAGGAGGCCCAGCCCTGCACAGCACAGGCTCCACGTGCCCGAACCACTGGTGCCCACCGCAGAGTGGGGCTCTGCTGGGGGCGTGAGGCAGGGCAGCCATGGGGCACCCCCTCCACCAGGCTGCTGTTTCCTGCAGGGAGGAGCAGAGGGAGGAGGGCAAATACACATGATAGATGAAAGAATCACAGTGATTTTCCTGTCCAGGTAACGGGGTGAGTGGTAGAATACCACTTTCCAGTTCTTCAGCTTTATCTCCTACGTTTTCTTCCCCTCTCTGCCATGTTCCCATCCAGCTGAAGATGAAAGAAGTCTGGCATTGGCCTCCCAAGGTCTCAGATGGGTGCTGTTCTCTTCCACCTGGAAGGTCATGCTAGACCACCTCCAACATAAGTGAAGGTTGAACTGTTTTTTTTTAAAGTGGAAAACCCCATGTAATACTCAAAAAATTGTGCACACAGAGGCAATAAAGTGCAAACTGTGCTGCTCTTCCTCTGCATTAAATAATCTATGTCTATATTTTACAGAAGTGTTTTAAGAAAAGGGTGCTCAGTTGTGAAAGGAAATACATATATAATTGCATGTTTCTAAAGATGCTTCTGGTGGTCTCAGCACCATTGTCAGGGACAATTTGAAATATATCTAAGATCATAAGATTTCCAGGATCCAGCTGATATGGAATTTTGAACCCTGTTTCTCTCAAAATCACAAAGAGCATCACAAACCACATTCAACCTCCGTTTCAACCACCTTCCAATCAATCTCCATTTACTCCATCATGAAAGAATTGCCCACAGCAATGATACCTCTTCAACAATTGCTTCAATTACTATCCTGCTGATGCATTTAGGGTCACAATCTTGCTCTTGCAGGTATGATTGATCCTTTTAATAACATTTAAATTTTGTTTTGGTGACCATATGAGTGCTTTGATCGTTCGTTCCCAACACACACAAACGGGATGCCTGTCACAAGACACTGTTTCAGCTTTTGGGTCTTTATCTTTGGTACCTATGGCCTTGGCAGTTTTTTCACCACTTTTGCCCCAGGCATTTTTGCAATCTGGCATGTCAGCACCTACTAGCTTTAGCTACTTTGCAGCCTTGGCTTATTTTCTCAAAGCTTTGGCATGAGTCTGCACTGTGGCATCCTTTCAACTCCAAACCTACTTGCTTCACAGGTTTTCTTTGTTTTTTTTTTTTTTTTAGGATGTCAGCAACTGCCCTGACCCTAGGGGGGAAGAAAGACTGATCAGCAAGTTCAAACAGTGTCTGTGCAGCAGAAAGATGCCTATCACAAATGAGCACATTCACTACATCACTTGCCCTTCTGTGTAAGCATGTCAGATATTGCACATGCTCAGGTACCATGAGAAATTTTTCCAGGCCTTCTTCAAGATTGTCACTATATTTCTGAGAGTCTTTGATGATCAGCTGGAGAAAACCCTATCAAAATTCATAGTCCCAGACTGTTAAAACACTATGTTTCCATATTCCAGTGGATATAGTTTCCATCATCAAAGTATTTTCTCTTTTACCTCTCTTCAAAGCTGAGAAAACTCATCATGTAAACATAGCTGTT